CCTCCCGGGGCAACAGTACTGTTATATTTAATATTCAACAGTTATAATTAAATAATAATAATAACTCGGATTAATATACATAATTATTAATTAACCTTTGTTATAAAATACAAATAGGTAGTTGGGATCTTTTACAAAGTGCATACGCAGTTTGTAACTGCCATGCCTCCTGATCAGTGATCACTATGATGTGTCAGTGTATATAAGCCTCAATGTAAATACAATGTGACCAACATTACTTAACATAAAACATTACAAGTACCCTGTAGCATCCCCCTAAATACGACCCCAGACATTCTGGATATAAATTTGGAAAACTCCAAAGAAATTAATTTTTCAAACTAGAATACCTTTTTTGCATTTGTGATATCGAAAAAATAAAAACAACGTTGCACAGTAAATGTTTACCTCTTTATAGAATGAAAATTTCGTATCTTATTTATGCCTGTACTCTGTAGAATTCTAAGTTTTGTCCCGTGTAAAACAGTTTTTGCTACTTTTTTTCAATTGTAAAACGGAGAGGCAACACACGTGGGTATGGCGTCCTCTTAACTATTATTTTACATTGGTTTTACAATTTATAATGGTAGTCTGGAAATGCCAAATGCGACTTTGTTTCTTACATGACTACATGTATACTCTCGTCACGTAGTGATACACTACAAAAATCCTCAACCAAGAAAACAAATCAAAGAAAATATGGTCTACCCAAAATTCTTTATACTGTATTATACAATATACATAGGTACTATGCACTATATATGGTTTTTCAACATCGATTATTATAGTGTAAATTTATCTACCTGTAACACCGTGAAAATAACAAGAATAAAAAACTATTTCTTGCCCTCCTCCCCACCCCTTTTAGCCCCTTTTACCCTCGTTGCGCCATTGGGCAAATACTGARGCGTAAGTTATAAGTATATGCGCATCATAGGATTTATAGTTTTCCGGAATTCCGTGAGAATTCTTGCCGTGTATTATGGCCTATTAATCGTTGTTTACACCGCCGACTATTCTGCTCGCGTATATAAAATAATAATATATAAATGTCTCGACTGCCGAGTAATAATAATATACTATGTGCAGAGATCGGTGGCGGCGGTAGCATGAGCAAAGTTTA